ATTTCGGATATTTCGGGTACAGATTTTAAAGTTCAATAAAGCCATTTCCCCCTCCCAAAGTCTGAGTCTCCATCATGACCATCCCCTAAGATGGTGCACATCTCACTCATTATGTATGTATAATACCCGCCCCCTCCCCCTCCCACGGGGCTGCCCAATACATCATATAAGTATAACTGAGAGAACCTATTAGTAATCAACTTTAGTCGTGTCCATATCGATCGGGGTTATGTAATAGTTTGACTGACCGAGATATATCTGGTGTGATACATGTTTTGTGCAAAAGTCATTGTTCAGGGATCACTTCCACAATTATGGAAGCTATATGGTGAATTCCCATGCGTAATCGCATATCAAAACTATGGAACCAGACAAAGATTATAAAAAAAAAAAAGCCATATATACTCTAACACAGTGATTGTAAATTCCGAGGTGAGGGAGTAGTAATGTAATGGGGATTCTGATATGGGATGAAAGCAGGTGTATTCTTCCCCTACCTTTTACAGTGGCATAGTGAGCCTCTGTTACTAATAGGAGTTTGTTATGTTCCCCAAGAATGTTGGTAATGGAAACAAAATTGAGAACTTTGAACCTCTAAGGTAGTAATTCTGAAACTTCAGTGTTCCTCCCAGGCACCTGGAGAGGTTGTAGAAAAAAAAAATACAGAATTTTGGGTCCACCCCCTAGAGATTCCGAATCAGTATATGTATAGCGAGGCCTGAAAATTTGCATTTCTAAAAGGCTCCCAGGTGATGCTGATGATGCCAGTCTAGGCACAATACTCTAGGAACCCCAGCTCTAAGCCAGTGATTCTCAAGCTTTAATTAGAATTACCTATGGAACTCTTAGAAAGAAACCCTATTCCAGGTTGTACTCCAACCTGTTACATCAGAATCTCTGAGGATGGAGAAAGGTGTATTTTTTAAATATTCCCAGGTGATACCAGTTCGTGGCCAAGGCTGAGAATTATGTGTCTCCCTCAATACACACATCCAACATGCACGCTTATCTTATCCCGAAAGGGGAGCTTCAAGGACAAGTGAAAATTTCAAGTCCAAAGATTAGTGGAACTTTCAATGTGCAAAATGGAGGTGCTAAAATATTGTATTTGTGTGTCTTGTTCTTTTTCTTACTGCATTCTCCTCTTTGGATTTCTTTGGCCTTTTCTTTCTCTTTCACAACTCCCTTTCCTCTCACTCTCCTCTCCTTCTGAGTTCCCTGAAGCTAATCAGGTGTCTAAACTTACACCTTCCATTGGGAATACTTGGGAAGAAACAGTGAATAGCTTAAAAGAAATCATGTGTGCTGGCAGGACTGAAGTGTTTTTTTTTTTTTAAAGTTTCCAATAAAATTATTTTCATAATTTCACGATAAACAGTGCTACAAAATCTGGTGATATTTTCTTAAAGAAGATAAGAATTTTTCTAGTGCTAATAAATTTATGGGTAACATATTTTGTTAAAGTACATTGAAGAGACTTTTTGTATTTAAATACAGTTGACCCTTGAAACACACAGGTTTGAACTGCATGGGTCCACTTTATACATAGATTTTCTTTCACCTTTACCACCCCTGAGACACCAAGACCAACCCTTCCTCTTCTTCCTTCTCCTCAGCCTACTCAACATGAAGACAACAAGGATGAGGACCTTTATAATGATCTCCTTCCACTTAATAAATAGTAAGTATATTTTCTCTTCCTTGTGATTTTCTTAATAACATTCTTTTTTCTAGCTTACTTTATTGTATTAATACAGCATATAATACATATAACATACAAAATATGGGTTAATTGACTTTTTTCAGCATATTATGGGGGTACAAATGTTAAAGTTACATATATTGTCCATGCCCCCCTTCCCCCCTGGAGTCAGAGCTTCAAGTGTGACCATCCCCCAAACGTTGCACATCTCACTCATTATGTTTGTATATACCCATCCTCTCCTCCCCCTCCCACCTGCCCAACACTTGATAAATGTTATTCCTATATGTCCACTTAGGTGTTGATCTGTTAATACCAATTTGCTGGTGAGTACATGTGGTGCTTGGTTTTCCATTCTTGAGATACTTCACTTAGTAGAATGGGTTCCAGCTCTATCCAGGAAAATACAAGATTTGCTATATCACCATTGTTTCTTAAAGCTGAATAGTACTCCATGGTATACATATACCACATTTTATTAATACGCTCATGTACTGATGGGCAATTGGGTTGTTTCCACATCTTTGCAATTGTGAATTGTGCTGCTATAAACATTCAAGTGCAGGTGTCTTTATTATAGATTGTACTTTGTTTTTTTGGGTAGATGCCCAGTAGTGGGATTACTGGATCAAAGAGTAGACCTACTTGTATCACTTTAAGTGTCTCCATATTGCTCTCCACAGAGGTTGAACAGTTTGCAGTCCCACGAGCAGTGTAGGAGTGTTCCTATCTCTCCACAGCCACACCAACATCTATTGTTTTGGGATTTTTTGATAAAAGCCATTCTTTCTGTAGATATCTCATTGCGGTTTTGATTTGAATTTCCTTGATGAATAAGGATGTTGAGCATTTTCTCATATGATTTTTAGGCATTATTCTGTCTTCTTTTAAAAAGTTTCTTTAATTGTCTTGGCCCACTTTTTGATAGGGTTGTTTGATTTTTACTTGCTGATTTTCCTGAGTTCTAAATAGGTTCTAGTTATCAGCCCTTATGTGATTGGTAAGGCTTGTGTTCAACAGGTTATCAGTAGTTTTGGACTTAGTCAAAAGTTATACACAGATTTTCAATTATGCAGGGGTAAGTGCCCCAACCCCTACATTATTCAAGGGTCAACTGTAGTTTCAAATGTGTTTCAAACCTTCTTCAGATAAATATGTTATAAAACAATGGATAGTATGAAATTAAATTGTATTAGTTGACCTGAACAATTCATCAATAAGTTTACCAAGCTTTTTAAAAGAAGCATTGTATCCAAAACATAAAAATATAAACCATCTTGATTAAGATAAACAATTTAACATTCAGCATTTTTAATGGATAGAATTTTAAATGATTATTGATTATTTATTTTCTTTAAAATAGCTTCCTATCTCATTTAGAATAAAAACCAAAGTCTTTACAAGTTCCTATATTATCTAGCCCCCTCTACTTCACTGACCTCATATCCTGTCAGTCTCTTCTCCACTCCAGTGATACTACTAGCCTTCTTGCTATTCTTTGAATGCACCAAGTCTCTGCATTTGCTATCTTCTCTGTCCCTCAGGTGTTCTCATGGCTGGCTCCCTCACTTCATTCAGATATGTTCTTAAATATCACCACATTAAAGCTGTCCTTGACTGTCCTATGTCAAATAGCTCTCCTCAGCTCTACATGCCCTATAGCCTTTCTCCCACCTCAACATGTATCTTTATTGTTTATTGTCTGTTCCCTCCAACAACACTGTATCATTAGAATATAATCTCCAAGAGGGCATATTTTGCCAAAGTCCAGTGCAGCCATAGTACAGAGTAAATTCTCAGTATGTATTTAATGATGAATGAGTGACTATCATAACACAATGCACTTTTGTGTTGGTATCTTTCTCTGACACAGATCTCTACCCTTTAAGGCTAAGAATTAGGAAGGAACTCAAAACAAAGAAAATGTAGGGATAAGCTATCTAAGCTGTTCTAGTCTAGGCAAGAACAGCTTAATCCACCAGGTCTAGGCATTCCATAAGAAGATTTTGGGGTCAAAACTATTGCTAGTAAAACACAGGTTGACGGAGAGACATACGAAGAGAGAGAAGAATTAAAGTACCTTTTTCTGCAATTATCCCTCATGAAACCCTTTTGCTCCCACATAGATGGTAATTCTCCACAATCTCACGAAGCAGAATGATTGACAGCAAACAATTCAAAGTGCTCTGGGAAAGCCACTCAAAGCCCTCAGAGAAGGATTTTCTATTGCTTACCTGGAGTACTTGTTATTGGGTTCACAAACTTTTCATTGTCCTAGAAAGAGGATAAACATATATCAGCAACTAAGGGTTGCTGAGACAACTAAGCTCTGTCTAGTTCCCATATCCTGCAACTAGAAACTTCCCCAAAAGAAAACAAATCAACATGAACACAAAGGGACAATCAAACGTTAAAAATGGAAACACAGCAGCCCCTAACATATTCCATGCATACCAAATACAGGGGGCTGGCTATGGAACCAGTTCCTTACATGCCCTCCAGGAAAGGGTGTAGATAGCAAAGCTCAGTGGGTGTGGCATGTACAAATGGTTCTTGGCTCTATGACAAGTCTGCACTCCCACTATGAAAAGCAACCAGGAGTGTTCCAGTTTAATTCATGTTTTCTTTTGTTTTTAGGAGCATATAGGACAGAGACTTAAGGAAAAAAAAATCCTAAGCAAGTCTTTCTTTTTTTTTTTATCTGAATCCAGCAGACTCAATGATATGGCCATTCAAAATATCAATGTTTTGAGGTTCAGAAAACCTATTGAGGACAGAGGGGATGGTGAAACGTGCTTTGGCTAAATGTTGGCTACAAACCTGAAATGGACACATGCCCATGATGGGAGTTGGCACTAGGGATACAATGAAACTCAGCATTTTAAAGAAGGGAGGGGTTCTGTGCCTTGCATTTAAAAGCAGAGGCAGCTGAACTAGTAAAATTGCAGACCACTGGGAATTGTGGCATCTCATTGACCAAACAGAAACTTTCAGAGTGAAATACTAGCCCTAAAACGTCAAACGACACATTTTCATCTCTTTGACCTGTGGATCTCATTAGGCTTCATCCAGTTGCCCTCCCTATACAGAAACATACAGTCCTGTTGCCCTCCCTATACAGAAACATAAGAGAGACAAATATAGAAAAGATGTCACTGGTCCTAAAATAGGCCCCTTCCAACAAATCTCCACCACACTAGCTCTTCTATATTTAACAGCAAAAGGGAGATGATGATTCCCAGCACAATCTCCCTGACTAGATATGGACATGGGAATGACAGACCAGCCAAGGTGGTTAGCTTTCCTATCAAAGCATCCTGACCCTTTCTATTTGCATGCCATTTTGACTTGAGTTCCTATTTCTCCTAGCTGGAACTCCTCATCACTTAAGTTTGAGCATATGGATGCCTGGTAGTGAGGGAAAGACAATAAATGTGAACAATTAAGCCATTCATGTGACAAATGCTTGTTAAATGCTGGAATCAAATTCAACTTTGATCTTTGTATCCTGGGAAGAAACTCTGGCCACCAATCAGTTAAGAAAGGAGTCAGTGACAACACTCTGCCAAGCCTTGACATTTTACACACACCACCCAGCAGTATTATCAGCTAAAGGCAATGCACATGGCATTCAATAAATCTGTAGAATGAATTAATTTTTTCAAGACATCTGCACTGCCACGGCACCTCTCAGGAAATGGAAATTTCTTCCTTCAGCTTAAACTGCAGAGTCAATTGACTCTGAAGTTAACTAATGTGCAACTTGGCAACATTGCCCATGGTGCATCTCCAAAGAATCAACTGAATATTATAAGTGAGTCTGGAAGCTGGTCTGAGGGAAATAAGCTGTCCTGTCCACACAAATTTCCTCCACTATACACGTAGTGTTACAATAAGGAGAGACATTGCCATCCTTCTCATAATTGAATTTCCAGTCAAAGTATGGACTTTCCTCAGTTGAAATAGTGCACTGTCCCTTTAAGAAGCTAGTCAAGATGGAGCCCTCCCAGCTCACAGCCAGAGGTTTCAAGCAACCTGATAAGGATCCTGGAGTGAGGGGAAAAAAAGAAAGAAAATACGCCAGGAAAGAGAAGAAATTGAGGCTTTAATACTAGGGCAGGAAATGGAGGCTCTAAAGCATACAGCCATCAAACTGAGCCTATCCCACCGGTGGTAGCAGCTCCCCTCGGCTCTAAAGCACCACTCCTTCCTCCTTCCCCTTCCCTCACGTCCTTACCCCACCCGGCTCCTCCCTCGGGATCCTCCTTGAAAGAGTCTCCTGTAATGTGGCTGCTTCGCCGCCCAGCGGAGACCCCAGAAAGTGTGGCTAAAGGACAGATGGGGGGAGAGGCAAAATGAAAGGGACTTACTTTCTGCGCCTCCGAAGGCATCTTCTCTTCCCAGCCCTGGGCCAGGGCAGATCGGGCGGGGCTGAGATTGAGCTGGTGAGAGTCCTCACTCCCTCAGACTACAAACCTAGTTGAGTGGAGAGTTAGAAGGGAATGGGTACCAACGAGGGTCGGTTTACACTCGATTTTAATTATCTCAAGGGAAGGCAGAAAGGTATGAGAGACAGCCAGGGGTGGGAGCGGAGTTGATATCTGAAACCTTCCTTTTCCCTCCTTTCTGGCTAGCTTCCCCCGCCCTGCGTTAGCGATAACAGGGGCAATGGTTTTCTTTTTTCTTCCTTTTGGTTTCTCCCGGCTGCCAGTCCCAGACCCCACCCAGCGGCTCCACCCCATCCACTGCTACACATTCTGTCAATCACCAACCCCGTTAAAGCTGCATGGCATAACTTGTGCTTACGTCCTCGTCCCTCTTTGACTGGCGGGCAGAATCACTGGGCTCCAGGCCTTTCCAACAATGCCCCAACCTTTCAGCTGAGTTTAGGAAGCCTAGGTTAGTTGGTAGTCGCGGCCTCCCCTCCCCTTTTACCCCAAGCTTGAATACTCGGCTCCACCTAAACTCCTCCCCGCCTTTCCAGGCCCTGCCACACCCCACAGCCTTTTTTTTTTCTTCTTCTTCTTCTTTATTTTGTTTCTGGTAAAAGTGGTTCACTAGGCTGCTAGATCTCCAAGAAAGTTTCTGCAGGACACTCCTTGGCGCTCCCCACTCCTGTGCAGTCATCTAAACTGGAGTGACTACAACAGCTCTCCTGTCCCTGGGGCTTCTCCGTTCTGCCTGGCCCGGGATGCTAAGTCTTCTTTTCTTATCGGTGTGAGTCCCAAGGTTTCTGACTAGAATGGGGGAAAGAGAGTGTGCAAATTCCCGGAAATATGTTTGATGCCTCTAATTCACCCCAAAAATCAGTCCCATACCACAGCCCCACTCCATAGTCAGCTCAAAGTCAGAAAAGGGCTCTGGGGACCCATCCCACAGGTATAAGTAGAACTCCAGAATGACCCATGAGAAATCATCTTTAATGTTACTTCCCATTCCAGTTAATAACAACACCTATTAATAGTTGCCTAGGCCAAAAATCTTAGAGCCATCCTTGACTCTTTTCTCACAAGTCACATCCTATTCTTCAGGAAATCCTGTTGGCTCTGTTTTAAAAATATGTCCAGAATCTAACCAATTTCCACTGCCACTACTCTGGCCCAGCCACCACCATCTCTCAACTGGATGGCTAGAAGAGTCTCCTCACCAGTTTTTCTTCTTTCACATTTGCCCCCCAAAAATCCATTCAACAGCCAGCAAACAAGAAGCATTTTTAAAAAGCTAATCTTACCATGTCACACCTCTGTTTAAAACCTTTCAATCACTTCCAATTGCATTTAGAATCCAGTCTCTTTTCTGTTATCTACAAGGCCCTCAAGATCCAGTCAGCCCCTGCCTACCTCTTTGACTTGATTTATAAACATGTGAACTAAAATGCTCACCTCCTCCCCCCAACTGGCTGACTGAATGGACCCCTTCGTGGCCAAAGGAATATTCTAGGGCAAAGTTACCTGCCAGGAGGAGGGAGGTCAGACATGCCTTATCATGCCCCCCTCCCTTCTTGGAGACTTCCTTTGTAACCCATTAACAGGCCTAAGGGTATGCAAGACAAACCTGCAGGTCCTCAATTTATGCAACAAATGGTGGCTTATCTCTGGTAAACAGTTTATGTTAAACATTCCAGGTCTTTATACAAAGCTTCATGTATTTAGCCAATTACAATCTAAAGAATCTTTAAAGCCACCTATAACCTGTAAGCCCCCCCCCCCTTCGAGATGGCCCTCCTTTTTGGGCCAAACCAATGTATGCCTCCCACATATTGATTGATGGCTTTACCCATAACCCTTGTCTCTAAAATGTATAAAAACCAAACTGAAACCCAGCCACAGCGAGTCCACTTGCCCAAGGCCTGTTGGCAGTGGCTCCGGGTCATGGTCCTCAAATTTGGCTCAGAATAAATCTCTTTAAAATTATTTTGCAGACTTTGGCTTTTTCTCCATTGACAAACACCTTATTCACACTGTTCTAGCCATACTGACCTCTTTTTTATTCCAATATGCTAAGATCTGCCTCACTTCATGGCCTTTGCACTTCGTTTTCCTTCTGTCTGGTTCTACCTTTGGTGGGCTCCAATAGCCTGCAGATCTCAGGGAAGCTTTCCCTACCACCCAGATTAAAGTAACTCCAATGGCCAAGGCACTCTCTATGATCTCATTCCATTTTATTTTTATCACAGCACTATCACAATTTAAAACAATTTTGTATGTGTGTTCGCTTCTGTGATAAAGTCAGTCTTCTACAAGGGTATAAGCTCAGTAAAAGCAGGACTTTATCTATTTTGCTCACTACTCTATCCATAGCATACTGAACAGTGGCTGCCATATATTAGGGACTAAATAAATAGTTTTTGAACATACAATTGAAGGCACTATCTTTAGGGATTGACCTGCTGCCTGTGATATGTGAATCTTCCTTATTGGCCATAATAACTTGCTCTAGGGGAAGATTCCTGGCCCAACTGAGCCAATCAGTTTCTCCCTCCCAGTAACATGACATTTTGAATCAAAACAGAGACTGGGGTCACTGAAGGGAAAAGTCACATGGACAAGTCAAAGAGAAGATCAATAAAGTCATACTGCTCTTGTACCCTGAGGTGAGCTGATCCTGTGCTTTCTGGGTCAACTCTTCTCCCTAATTGTAAGATATTCCACTATCCTTTCAATAAATTTCATTTTCCCTTAACTTTTTTTTTACTTTTGTTACTAATGCTATCAACTATATACTTCTTATTTATGGCCATATACTTGCTATGTGTCTGGCAAAAAGTTGGTGCTTAATAAATACTTGCTAGATGGAGGAATGAATGGATGAGTATGGTCTCCTTTATCAAGTCATTGGTCCAAACCTAAATCAAATCCTGATTTTTCTGTGCTTCCATTATTTCCATGTTATTTTAGAATATAGTTAGTTGTTTAAATGCTGCCTCACTAGATTATATAAGCTCCTTGGCAGTATGGTCTTTGTGTTGTTTATCTTCAAATATTTTGTAGGGAATACCATAGAGCTTTGCACATAACAAACTCTCTAGGAATGTTGAATTAAATTCAACTCTGCACTACACTTGAGACCTCAGTCAGTAATGCAGCAAACTAAAACGTTTCCCAGATATGAAAGGCAACTGTAGTATAGCAGAGAGAGAGGACTGGATTTAGAATGAGAAGACCCCCAGTTCCAGGTTTGTCACTGCCTACCTGTATGACTTGAGGCAAGTTACATAACCACTCTGAGGTTCAGCTCTTTCACACAAAGGCAAGAGGGACAATATAGTGTTCTCAAGGTCATCTGTACCTAACTTATGATGGCTAAGGAAGTAGACACTCTACTACAGTACTTAGGGATAGGAAACATTTCTTGTGAGGATTATAGGAGTCTCTGACATATCTTGACATCAGAGAACATTTACATTATTTCTGAGAATCTGGACAGGGCCATTTAAAAGGATGGTGAGAGGGGTTTAGCATCTGGCATCAGGCAAATGCTAGTTGTGGCAGATGTGGAAATTGCTATGTAATGGAGGTCACAAACCAATTGTTCATAGGTTAAATTTAGCTAGGAGATATATTTTGTTTGACCTGCAGCATGTATGTGTGTATGTGTGTGTACATGTGTGCATGTGTATGTGGATGTATTGATTTGAATTGTCAACACTGAAAAATTAAGAGATTTTATATGAAAATCCATATTTCCATCTTTAAGTCTGTTTTCCAGAGTGCCATCAATCTGTTGGAAATCAGCATTGCCTGGCCCCTTTAGATGTGGCATCAACTCATCAGATCACCACAGACCCCACCTGAACATTTCACTTATTTATGTTACCAGCTTGGCCTGGATAGACCAAGCTAAAGCCTTAGTTTGCAACCCTTGCTAAAGAATAAATGACTAAGTTCAAAGCAAGTGTAATTAGTTAAGTGTAATAGTTACCCTCTAGTTAAGATAACATTTGAAAGCTCCTGATTATCCCTAAATATCAAAGAGGGGTTTTCCAAGTATCTTACAAAATGGTTCTGGCTTCATGATTATCCACCCATTTGAGGTCATATTTAATATGTAGTATGGATTGCTTTTACAGAAAACATTCCATATCACCATGTTATATTTTTGTGTTACCTCCACAACTAGAATGAAATTCTCTGGGGGTGGGGACAGGGGCCACATCTAATTCAGTTAAGTTCAAGAAATATTTTTTGTACACTCATCAAGTGGAAAGAACTGTGTTAGTTGCCAGGCACATAAAGTTGGATAGCTCATTTCTTCCCCTTAAGGAGCTTCCAGCCTGAAATTTGCTTGTAGTTTCCATCTCCTAGGGTGACTTTATTCTCTCTGGGAATACCCATTTGCTCTTGAACACATTCCACTCTTCCTTCCTCCTTCACAACTATACTAAAATGGCTCTTTTGAAAGTCTCCAATGACCTCCAAGTTGTTAAACCAAATGGTCACTTTTCAATCCTTGATTCACTTTACCTTTCAGCAACATTTGACATAGTTGATCACTGCTGCTTTCTTGAAGCAGTCATTTTCTCTTGACTTCTATGTGAAAATGGTCCCATGGTTTTACACTTACCCCACAGGCTGCTTTTCTTCAGTGTTCTTTTCCCCAGTCTTCTTTTTTCTTCCTCTACCGAAGTCTAAATGTTAAGAGTACTTCAAAGCTTCTCCTTAACCCTCTTTTAATTTTTATCTACATTGTCTCCCTAGGTTATGTGATACAGTACTATGGCTTTGAATATAAGCTGATGAATTCCTAAATCTATACCTCAAAACCAAATTTCCCTGAACTCTAGATCCATATGTATTTTAGGTCATTAAGTATGTCAAATTTAATGGACATTAAGTATGTCCAATATTAATATCCAATTTATTTAAGTACTAAGTTTGACAGTTGATATCTCTGAAATGTCACTTTGACACTTTTTGTTTTATTTTTATTGTGAAGGTACATCCTCAGTCTTTCAAACACATGTTGTGGCCTGTGATTATTTTTTCAAATTTTTTAAAAGAGATTTTTGTGAAACCATAGATAAATCAAAAATTCATGTTATTTTCGATATGAGTTCTGTTGTGGAACAAATGCAGCACAGACAGCTCAAAATACCAACGAAATGTTTGGGAAGGATGTGGCTAATGAACAACATGCAGTACATCAGTGGTTTGAGAAGTTCCATTCTGGTG